GACTGAGACGGCTGGACAAGGGATCGAACCAGTGACCTTCTAGTTCCAGGACTTCCCTAACCACTCCGCCACAGCCGCCCCAGTGTGAAGGTGCCTCACACTATCCTTTGACAACTTGTTAAAAAAAAAACTATCAAAACTTTTCTTACTTCCCATCTCTTTATACAAATTCTACATCCAAATCTGGGCCTTTTTCTGGGGTTATTTTTTTCACCCTTTGTGTCCATCTTTGTCATGGTTTTCTCTCAAATCGCTTAAGAATACTGAAAAAGCACAGACAATTTTCCCACAAACATAACTTATATTTTGTTCAAACTATACTCTTCAAATATAATCTCCTACATGAGACGCTGCAAAAACATAGAAGTGACATATATTGCTTTTAGTCTGTTTTTGTGTCTCTTAAGTTTGCTGTCAGGGAGAAAACGATGCAGGCCTGTGGCTGACCATGATGACCATAACCACCAGCAACAAATTTAACATTTCTTTTGATTTTGTTTCTCTTATTTATTACACACTTTGTCCATCAAAATTTGACATTTTTTGGTCTTAGTTTAGATTATTATATATAAAAAAAACAATGTTTGATTACACCTACAAATAGAATTATCAAAATATATTTACTTATCTAAAACATGAACTAATTTTTAGTGGAAGAATTAACTGAAAGATCCTACAACTATTTATAGTTTCTGGTTATAAGCTTTTGAAATATGAGGCACTCCTAGTCCATGTAATCAGAATTTAGCTCCAGTTTGCTTTAATTTTAGCCATCATGTTGCAATCTGAGAAAGTTAAACATGGATTYTTTTCTGAAAGAATATTTGCTCAAACAGTTGACTGAAAATGGTGTGAATAGAAATATGTTGCAAGCCTAAAAAGGAGAGTTTTTGGCTTCTTAAAGACAAGAAATGTCTCTGCTGCCATGAAAACTCRACAACTGGTTAAAGACTTGACTAGTTTACCTGTTGCTTCACCTGTGTTGATCCAGTCCGGGTTGGCAATGCTGGCTATTGCGAAGATATCTGCAGCCAGAAACAGGCACCCTGAAATGATGGTTAGTTTATCCATATCGTCAGCCAGTGAAGCGGTGAAAGAGGCCGGGAAGTGGTCCGAACTGTGACCCCAGGTGCTGAGCGGCCTGGGTGGGCTGTTGTCTGTCTAGCCTGGCCCCCTTCAACAACAGGAGCCTGCTGTTGTGGCTCCGCTGTGCATTTTGCAGCAACGTTAGCCCCTCCAGCTACAAAAAGCTCAAAAGTGACGCACAAAAGCATCACATCGCAAAAGCCCGATGTGGTCCAGAAATGCAAAAACAACACCTCATTTAGCTGGCGCTCAGTCGGGCCCTGAACTGTGCTCGTTGTTTTGTCTGTCGGATCCGCAGCAGCATCGGGTACAGCTGCAGCTAGCAGACAGCTACGGGCTCGGCGTGCCGAGCTGCGGCCCAAAGGCTGCTCGACGGACGGCACCGCCACCGGGCTAGCATTTCAGACACGATGTCACGCCGACGGAGGTCCAGAAGATGCCAGGCAAGTACCGCTTTTCTTCCAAATATCCGTGGTTTCAGCGTTGCGTTTTACCCGTCAGGAAAACGAGAACCCATCACCCCGTCCTTGCTTATGCGACTCMGTTCTCCTTCTTCTCCGCTGGAAAAGCATCTGGTTCTTTCAGTCCATTAGCCCGCCAGCTTCTCTCCTCTTATCGTCTCGTCCAGGACCGCGAGAAGCCGAAATTAAATCGCTGCCGAGTGTTTAAATGTCCCAGTCTGGACGGCAAAACGGGATCGTTATTGTTGTGCTTTTTCAGCCGTAAGCCCACCGCTAGCTCAGCCTCCCCTTCTGCCAAATGACATCAGGCGGACACCCCCACCTCACACACACACACCATACACACATACACACACACACAGGGCTCCCGGAGATCACGTTTGAGGGGCTAGTCTCGCGACACCTCGTTAAGAAACGGGGTTCGCGTTTTTTCCTGAGTCGCCGATTAGTGTCTCAAAACAAACCATTTCAGGGAAACAAAAACTCTGAAAAATGC